TGGAAATATGGCATGCTGTACATTAGTGATTTCCCAAGTGTTTGGATCAGGTAGTAATGTGCTGAGAAAGTGCTCTTTATCTCTCCACACTGTGTACTTGTATAGCAGTGGGGAAAAGCTTTTGGTAGAAATTACTTTAGTCAGAAAAAGAATCCATTTACAATATGTGCCTTCTAACATCCTTCAGACAATGCATTGTATTAAAGAGGCATTTTTTGATTAATGTTTTATAAACATTTTTCAGCATGACAGCTTAAAGTCCCTGTAAAATTGTAAATGCGTGCATAGTGCTCACTTCCATAAAGTCAAATGCCATCTCATAAAGTCTAGTTGGATTCTGTCAGCCACAGTGACACAGAATTGGTACCTCAGAGCATTAAAATTAATTTGTTTCATTTATATTACTGCAGTGATAGTTAGATGAAAAGAGTCCTATATTTAAATTCTCTTAAAAATACCTTCAAATCTTTTAGGATTTTTTATTATTATTGTTTTACTGTTAACTAAATGTAGTGAAGTGCAGCATAATATTTTCAGGGGTCTTTTAGAAAGATGACGACCAAATGTCAAAGTGGCAAAGGGAAGCAGGGGATGTAGGAAGTTGTACTGAGTGCAAAGCTGCAAGAAGGATGAACAGCTTTCACTTGAGCGGGTTCCTAGGCAAGCAGCGGCCTTAGATCTGGGCTAACCGGCAGCCTTGGAGCCAAACTGCTGCGCTCTGGAGCAAGGGAGAGCGAATAGGGCTTTCTTGTAGCAGTCCTCGGGAGCAGTCCTCGTGCTCCTCCTTGCTATTGCTGCAATTCTTGGAGGAAAGAGAAGCAGCTTTTGCTCTTGCTGGCTTTTCAGGTGTGCCAGCTTCTTATGTGAAAGGAGGAAAATGATAATATACTCCTGATCCCGGCCTACCCCATTTTTCTTCATTACTGTGCCTCTGCTGGGAGTTCAGTTGTTTTGGTGGAAGTCCTCACCATTTATGCTGCTGCAAGTGAGAGCAGAACTGAAGGTCTTGGGGAGCCAGAACAACCAAGCTAGGAGCATGGGGGCAGAGAAGATGAGCAAAAAGAGAGGGAAAATACAAATGGTGAGAAAGGGCAAGAGAGCCTGTGAATGCAAGAGCTAAAGTGCAATGAGGGAACATGGGTGAGCATTGCTAGGAGGCGCGCAAGGGAGAAACTAGAGGCAAACAGGAGAAACTCAGGGTGAAAAAGCTGGGAATATCAATGATCTTGTTTGTAAGGGATATTTGTGGAATGATCTGAGTCTTCTCTCCCTTCTTCTGCTCCTCCTTTAAGTGTGGTGAGATGCAGTTTTCCCACCCACCTGTTTCCTCATCCATTGCGGGGAATGGAGCGGAGCCCCAGCTGGCACCCAGCTTGGTCAGTCCCGCTCCCAGCAACAGGGCTCTGCAAAGCAGTTGGGCAGCTCCACACTTTGTTGCACCCCTGCTCTGAGTGAAGCTGCCCAGGCCGGCAGCATGTGGCAGCGACATCGGTTTGGGTAAAAGGTGAGGGCATTTGGTAGCGGAGCAGAACCGAGCAGCTGGAAAACTATAACTTGAATGGCTGCCTGTCAAATGAGTCCTTGGGCCATGACAGCGGCCCTAAAACTTAGCAAAATACGTACATATATTATACACACACACACACACATATATATATAAAACTGATAGCGCCAGTGTTCCTCTTTCAGTGTCAATCAGGATGAAGACTATGAAGTCAGTGCAATTACCCTCTAGTGCAGTTGAGCCAGATTAAGTGACTCTGTGAAATCAAAACATACTTTTTATTTTTTATTTATACACACGAATGCAGAATATCACCTTAATGCTCCAGCTTGCAAAGGCAGGGAAAAAAGAAGGAGCAACTGTATACTTTGAGTAAGCTTAACAGAATTGTAACTAAGCTAATGATTTGGTTTGGTTTATAATATATGTGATTTGATGTGATTAAAAATTGTGCTTGACTAATACAGCCCTATCATGTTCCGTTAGCACTGGAAGCAATGGGCCAGATGAGCCAGAAAGTAGTGGACAGCCCAAAATAAAGATCCTGGTCATTTTTGCTTAGTCCTTTCTGGCTATCAGAAAGTTTTACACCTATCTCACTATTTTTTTAAATAGTTTTGTTATAGCAGCACCAGTTCATGTCACTGATATTTCAATCAGTGTTTCTGTTACAGCTTCTATTAACACTGGATCTTTACCTCATCTTGAAAATATGTTTCAGGTCAAGACTTAGATCAGCCCTTTGGCTATTCTTTTGGCTGGGTTTCACTTTTCCCCCCTCCCGCCCCTTTTTCTCCCCCCCCCCGCCTCTTTTTTTCCCCTTTTTTTTTATATATATATCTTTTACAAACGCTTGCACTTCAATAGAGGAAAGAAAATCTGTTACAATAGACTTTTCATAATTAAGAATTTGCATGAGTCTCAGTTATCTCTGTTAAAATCCTTTGGTTCTTTCATATTGGACATTTGGAAAGCATTAACAATCATACTGATACTTGAAATTACTATGTATTGCTGTGGAAAAGTTTAGAGAATATTTTTAAAAATAAATAAAATTCCAATGCTGTTTTGTGTTTAGCTTTGTGTTACCATTACTGACATGGAGTATTTGAGGAGGCTGCGGTGCGTGAATCTGTCATGAAATATTTTCCAAGAGTGTTGCATATTAACTGCAATTACAGAAATTGCAGTGTGGAAAGCACATAAAAAGGGGAAAAGACTTCTTACAAGTTTTTTTTTTCCATTAAACTAATGCTAACCTTCAAAAAGCATTACTACTACTTTTTACCAGTTAGTTTTCCTAGTAAATAATAGGAACTGTAATTGCACATTAGTGGCTCAGAAAAACCAGTTGTCGTCATATGTATTTAAATAAACTGTGAATTAAGAACCTCTTTCTACACGGTGATCTAATTATATTGTCATACTAATTATAGTATTTTGTATTTATATTTGACAACTTTAATTTTCTTTTCATAGTTTACTGAAATAGCTTTCCTCTAGAGAAAATTTACCTTTTAGTCTAGATTTTTCTTTTTTTTCCTTCCTGTCCAGAGCATGTATATTAATTTAAAGATGGTCTCGGTCACTTTCAGTCCATTCTGTTCATGTCTGTGCCATTAGTTTTCTGTATGTCTTGGGTTAGTCACTTTTGTATTCTCTGATTCTCTGTACAAGTCCTGTTCAGTTTACTAAAGAGTTTTTGGACCTACAGATGAAACTGCCAAAATACCAGGTACTTAAGAGCCTATACACAGCATGTTCATAAGTTGAGAATCTAGATTATTTTTGTGCAGGTAGAGAATAAAAAAGGTTCCCCTGGCCTGAAGTTCAGACTAGGAAACAAGTAATAAGACCATTATCTGTTTACCAAAACAGTGCAATGGACATTTGAAATAAATTACACTCTTTAATGTAATGGAAATGCCCATTTAATTTTTATCCAAATACTGTCTATTCCTGTGCTTCAGAAATTAGTGTTAATAAGAAGTAGCTTTATTGTTTTGGTGGTAGGTCCATGATGGCTTTTTTAGAGATAATTATTTAATAATACTGAAATTAAGTCTGCAAATCTTTATTTGATTTAGCCTTTCCCTGGAAATATCCACATAAATAAAGGCTACTGTAATGGGGACTAGATTGTTAGTGCTTTAATGTGATGAAACTAATTAAATTAATTAAAAGAAATTGTGCTGTGGAAACACCATGAAGAACTCAACAAGCCTAGATGTGTGTCAGGGATAATGGTGCACTGGTGGAGCAGTAAATATTCAACAAATAAGTTGTTTCCTCACCTAGGGAGCAGGCAACTTTTATTAAGGGAGACCTGGAAGGATGTTGAGAAGTGAAATATACCCAAGCCTCTGTAAACACAGCAACTTTAGCTGATCTGAAACATGTACTGCTTGGGAAGTAGAGGGCATGTGCCACAGCTCAGGTTTTTATGATTGCTAAGAAAGGAAAGGCAGAGAGGAGCTCTGTGAAAACTGTCTAGTCTGCTTCACTGTGAGGTTGGTGCTGGTGGAAGACTCCTAGAATGACATTTAAATGAGGTAGACAATAAGGTATGTCCTCTCTTGAGGTATAGCAGCCACTCTTGTTTGTGATTATCCAAACATCTGGTCAGATGAGGCAGGGATTGTTGGTGAGCTTTGCCTGCAAACATGCCTTGTGGAGCATGCTAGCCAAGTTCCATGATTTAAACATTCTTTGAACAATAATATGTTTGAAGTAAGCATAATCTGTTTCATTGCAGTAGAACAAAATCAAATATAATCTTACATGTCACTTCAACAGGTGGGAAGATTATGCATGGAAAAGTCTAATAATCAGCACTGTTGATTACAAACTCAAGTTCGCAGGAAAAATACTCTATCCCTAGTTCCAAACACTCATGTCTTCCAACATCTGGCAATTTCCAGGCTCCAGCTGCTCCCTAATTCTCCATAGGCTTGACCACTTCTTATTTTCACTCAGGTTGTTAGATCTTTTCTCTCTCTTGTTTTCTGTCTTCTGAAACATAGACATAGGCCAGAGCATGGGAGGCAGCTTACCTACCAGCAGGGAGTATGCAAGCAAAATACAATCCTTCTCCAATGGTGGGAACACCAGGGAAAGGTTGCAAGCAGGAATTAGGCAGGGTGGTGAAAGAGAGCACAGCAAGAGGAAGTAGCAAATAAAGAGTATACAAAACCCTTGTGCTATAGCAGAATGAATTTTACATCAAATGTTCACAGAAGTTTGACAGCTATCAACATAATAAAAAATATCTTCTATGATATTCCCCTACTCCTTCCTTTCTGCCACTGAAATGCTTTCTCTGCAGTGGAATTTTCATCTGCATTCTTCTGTTTGTTTGTTTGAAAATACTCCTGAGTCTTAATTTTGTTTCCTTTTGGGTGCTTTGGTGAAATCTCAATGCAGTATAAAATGTTTAACTGTGATTCTTGGCACAAAATCTGAGGTGAGAATCTGTGTCCTGTTTTTCTGCCTGCAGGGATTCCCATGCTGAAGATAGTGTTTGCGGGGTACGAGCACCTGTCCTTAATTTCCGTCCCCTTACTCATCTATCATCCTGCTCAGATTCTTCTTGGCAGTCTGTTGGTACCAACAATAAAATCTTGGATGGTTTCTAGACAAAAGGTAAGAATTGTTCTTACAGATGTAGAATGAAAGACTGCTCTGAGAGAGAAAAAAAAAGAAAGAAAGAAAAAAAACTAAACATGAGCCTAGCATTCTTCAAGGTTCCTTTTTGTAGATTCCAGGGTAACAATTTTTCTGTTTCTTTACCTCCTCTGTTACAGTGATAATCATAGTGGCCTGAAATTAAAAACCTTGAGCTTTAGTCCCTTGGCTTTGAAATAAATTAAGATGCGGAAGTTTAGATGTCTACAGCTAGCTCTTTTCATAGGAGGAAACATTCAAATACAAATTGTGCTCCATAGGAATGGCTCAGTCTTTCGCTAATAATCATAGCCTTGGACCTCTCTTGGGGAGATGTCCACTGTGCACTGGCATGGGAGCTTGGGGAACTGGGCAAAGCAAGGGGCCTTTGTGAACTGAAGAAGGACTAAAGTTTTCAAATGTTTCTTTACTTCATTACCCTTTATGGCAGCAAGAAGTCTGTGAGAGTCAATTTCACGCCAAAATACAGCATGGGATGACTGGTTAGGATTGTAGCTTTATAACCTAGAGCTTTTCTCAATGACATCACTGATTCAAACTTGACTTAACTCTGTACTGACTGAAAGGACTCACATCTGCCAGCCATTCTGTCACCTGTATGAAATAATTGCAATGGTTTTGGTCCAGTTCTCAGAAGAAGAGTAACCATCTCACAGGAAGATGGTCCTTACAACTGATTTTAATGCTGTCTTCAATGTTCTGAGATTATAAGGATTAAGTGGCTATGGCAACTGTGTGACCTATGTATACCATCATTCAAGGTGAAGGTCAAGATATTGTAGGAAGCCCAGTTCTACCAGTACTCTGCATTTTCCATTTGTCAGTGGAGGCATTTAAAAAAGAAATCTTCCTTGTCTTCAATTTGCATCCCAGACCAGCAGGTCATTTTATTAGCTTCACTCCACTGAAGTCACATTGCTAACTTGACTGCTAACTTCTCCAAATTTGTAATTTTGTGGGAATCTACATTCAGTTATCTGAATTGTAAAAAGCTTGGATAGCTTCGGTTTTCCAGGAATTGTGCCCAGAAATCCAGATCTTGTGAAGATAATACCCATCTCAACATCCCAAAGTTGATATCATATGTCAGTTCCTGAGACTCTGTTGGTCTGAAAGTCATGGCAATTAAAAAACCCCATCTTTTTCCAATAGAAATTATCAAGAGACATCAATAGACCTCATTAAAGATTGTGTAAGGGAAATTCTGTGCTGTCCCACCAGAAAGGCAGCCTGCAGTTGACACCGCCAGTGAAAGAGCGATCCCCGCAATGCTGGCTTCTGTTTGTCATCTCACTGCTTCCAGCTGCCGAAACAGGGAACGTGGCTGGAGCTCATCCAGGCGTCCCTGATCCTCAGGGCTCTGCTGGCCTGTTGGGGGCTGCTGTCAGTTGCTGCACATTAACACAGCCTTTGAGCAGGGCATCAGGAAAGTCAACCAGTACTAGAGAGATTTAAGGTTCACCAGCACTAGTTTCTTATTCATTAAGCATCAAATAAGCTTTCTGTGCTAATCAGACTGTAATGCAACCATAAAGCTACTTCGGGGGATCGTTGCTCTGTTGATACTGCTCCTCCACTAGGTCTTCTGTATTATTCACAAATGTTATTTTAATTACTCTTAAAAAAATCAATGAGGTTGGGTTGGGTACAGTTGCAATAAGTATAATAAAGGGTTGTGACTGGATAATGGTCTCCTGCTTTGAAAATAAACATGTCATCATCACCCTTGATGTTTATTTTCTATAAACACCTTGGCTTCACTTTGGCATCTCTCTTGCAGAGGGAGGCGGTTATCCAGTCACAGTACTCAGCTGCAGTGACATTCTTACTTAATTATGAAAGTACATGTGATCTGCTTGTATGAAATTGAATTTAAATATTTAGAGGTTTATCTACACTAAGGTATTTCTAGTCTGTAAAAATGGCAGCAGAACCTGCCAAACTACAAAGTAAAAAATTGTTTCTCCAAACAAGATGTGGAAGGATGTCTCTCTCCTAAGTCTCTTGCTGAATAATATCCCAAAGTTTAATCTCGAATGGCTAGATTTAACAGTAGTTAAATGCTGGTGTTTCTGAATGCTGGTGTTTCTGAAGGGAATATAGCCTATTTATTTTTAAAGGTTTGGATTTTTTTAAAGGATTTACATTTGTGCTAGAGTGTTTTCCACATAGCGCTTACAAGCTTTGAATGTACAATATTAAAGGTTAATATCTACAATAGAAGATCCATCAGATTTCATCTCAAACTGAAAATTGTTTGTTCAGCCAGTCCTCTAGAAATGATAGTGTCTCACCCACTGAGCAAGGTTAGTCTGTCAGGGCATCTTCCCACAAAAGCCAAGGGAAATAGAGGTTACAAATGGCAGGAACTTCCCCTCCCTGACCAAATCCCCTGGCTGCAGAAAATGCCATTCTCACATGATGCTCAGCAGGGTGTTCAGCACCTCACATGATTGCAGATAGCAGCTGCAGAAATATCCTAGGGGAATAGGTGACCCTCCGGTAACCAGTTTGTTGAAAACCCCTCCTACTCCCCATTCTTTCCCTGAAGAGCTTCATACCAGGTTAAAGGCTAAATGCAAACTTCCATGTACTCACTGCTCCCCACCTCCAGGTGCATCTCCTGTGCAGCCTGTGCTGCTCCTCTGCCATAGGACAGAGGCACAAGGAAGTACTGAGCTCTTCCTGTGCCCTTTTCCAGGGCATGTCAAAGAGGTGACACAGTACATGGGAGCCACTGAGAACCAAAATGTTTTAAGTCAACCACACATGAGCCCTAAGTTGAGAGACACCTCTTCCTGCTGCATTAGAGGCACCTATCCCTTGAGCTATGCCTCTGTCGTACACTGAATAGTTCATCTACCTTAATTGCCAGACCTGAGAGGAACACAGAGCTGGATATTGCCATTAAAGGCATGTGATTACTCTTCTCAGTGTCAAGTATGCAGCAAGGGGGAAGGTAAGCTACAAGCACTCCAGATGTCACCTGGAATAAGATTATCTCGGACTTTGACTTACTATTACCTTTTCTCTGCAAGGAGGGCACAAACATTGCAGGTGCCTGACATTCACCACTGCAGCAGTAACTCTGCTCTGAGCCAGCTGTGAGCCATGTCGAAGGAGCCAGAAAGCACAAAGATGCTTGCAAAAGTTTTCTTCACGGTCTTTCACTAACTAGGTCAGAAGCTGTTGCATCTGTGCTGCAGGGGCGTGTGTTGAGTGTGGTCCCAACAATTGCTTTCCAAAGGACATCTGAGACTTGGCTTCCCCCCGCAGCAATAATTTCTGATGTTTCCTTGTTAAGGCTACCTCTATACGAGGAGGTTGTGCTGGGCTACCAGAGAGCAAGTACCACTGCAAAGCCCGGATCAGTATGAAACCTGGAGTGGACTGTCAGCTGCACACTGCTACCTCTCTCCATCTTGCAGGAGGACACAGAGCACTGTGTTGCTGCTAAAATAAAGAGCTTGTCTTTTTTTTTTTTTTAAGAGTTCAAAAAAGTGACTGTTTTTCTCTACTGTTCACAGGCACTGAAGTTAACCAGGCAGCCCAAAGCACCCGTGAAGGTATAACGATGGAGGTGGCCCGTGTCCCAGCGAATGTATATATGTACTATACTGTACACACAGACAAATGAGACAACTGGGTATCTGTGAATGTTGCTTCAGTGCATATTTTATTTTTTTATATGCATATACATATATATATATATATATATATATAAAAAGATACCTGTTTAAGTGCCTTACAAATACGTTTTCTGGCAAAAACATTGTTTCCAGAAGCCACTTTGATGGTTACTGCAAGAGGTTGTATAGTATTTTGGAGTCCTTTAATTTTTATTTTTCTAACTGAGTGAATGGTCATAACTACCAGCTGTCTTTCTTCCATGCCCCTGCTTTGAAACCAGGGTGCAGCAGCCGTAAGTTTCTATTTTAAACTAGCCAAATGACCAGGAACCTATCCCACTGCTGGCCTACCCTGAGGAAGAGCTTTCTGAAGGTTTTCTTCAAGGTTGACTTGAATTGTGTGATTCTGTTACACTCCCTAGTCATATGACTGTGACATGCCTTTTTCTTCTGAGTTTGTGTATTCTCAGCATGGGGCCATCCATTGGATAGAAGCTGAGAAGCATGAATTATTTGCATTTGTTGACACAGTTGTCTAGACATTCCTTCAAAGTTAATGTTTTTTCAAGAAAATTCTTTCAATTTCATTGTATGATATTGTGCCATTGTATATCTTAAATGCCTCATAAGCTTCAAAGAAATGGTCTGGTGCTTGGGTTATGAGTGAAGTATTTGTGTTTGCAGCTAGGACATCTTTTTTATTTTTTTTTCCTTTCCCTTCCACCAGTGCAATGCACAGAAGTCTGCAGTGACAGCATTTGGGATGCTCATATTTAAACAGCATCTTCATTGTAGTAAACCAAGCTAAGTTTTTTATACTGCCGCATGGTAATGAATAACAGCTTGCGCAGACGAGCAAGTTGAACATTATTTTTTTGCCAATTAAAGGGATCCTTATAGTAACAAAGAACACTACCTTAGTTAATTTGATAATCAATGAGAACTTTTTTAAAAAATCAGGTGTTGCTATTTATAATGATTCTTTTTTTTTAAAAAAAAAAAGATATGAAATACTATTTGTGCAAGTAAAGAGAAAGAAACACAGGCAAATGTTTAGACACAGAGCCAGCCCCGCATCTTATCCAAGAGATTAAGGCTTCAGAAGAGTGCACTAGTCAGGACTCTTGAGATGTACCCATCTGCAAAAATTGTGCTGGCAATTGTGCACTAAGACATTAAAAGGAATGAAAGAAATAGGTCAAACAGGGATTGATTTAAGTGCAGAATTGTCTCGTGTGTCGTGGTTAACATTGCACTGAGTTGCACCATTAACTGCAGACGCCTTGGAGCAGATCTTCAGCAGATGTAAATTATCATAGCACTGATAACGCTATAGATATTTACACAAGCCAGTATTTTTTCTGTGAGAATGGGCACCTGCAACTTTTATCCCTTTACCTTAGTGAAAAGAATCATGTTTGGTTTATCCAGTTTGTTAATGCTAATTTAACAGCTAGAGATAGTTTGTTAGCAATCAGCAGAGCTTTAAGCAATGGTCAGTGCAAAGTGGCTCTTTTGCCACCTATATGAGAAATTACCAAGGGTTGACAGCGAAGCCTTGTTCAAAATCATGATCACCGATTGTAAGGAAAGTGCATAGCAAAAGTACGTGATGTGATAATGTTTTGAATTCTTTCCACGGAGAGGAATGGGCCTGGGTGCAGCGAGGCTGTGTGAGGGCCGAGAGGTGCCTCCTGCCACCAGTCTGCTCCAGGGCTGCGCTCTGTTCTCACAGGCTGGGGGGCAGAGGACGGCGAGCCGGGGGCTCGCAGTGTGGGTCCGGGTGTCCCTGGGGAGCAGGCGTGCCTCCACCAACAGCCCAGCCCACGAGGTCATTAGAGAGAACAACATGTGCGTTCTTGGCCCGAATTAAGGGTTCCCCTTCTTAAGTAGGCTACCTAGAAATTGGCTCCATGTATGTGTCAAAATTCCTTTGTCTGTGCTTAAAAACCTGACCAGAGCAGAGAGCCCTGATGCCAGGCAGTTTCCCTCTGTGCTGAATCTCCCTGATTCCCTGAATCCCTCCTGAATTTTCAGAGCATGTAAAGACCTAATCCCAGTCCTACTGAAATCTGTGAAGTGCTCTGTTGGTTTTAAATGTCAAAGGAGTAAGACCAAGGAGAGTGCTGGGTTTTTCTTTTTTCTTTTTATTTTTAATATGCAGACAGGATTCAAGCATAGAGTTATTTCTTCCACTTCTGTGGTTGGGTCTATGCCAAGTAGTCAATACACTGCAAATACTCTTACTGAGCTACCTCTGAGTACTGAATCTCCTGTTTTCAGTACACCCAACAACTTGCTTAAATTCCATGGCAAACATCCTTTTTTTTCTTTGCTAAATATTTTCTGTGCTTAAGACTATTTCAAACTATTTTAAGAGAGAGTTTTGTTAGGTCTTTTACAAAGTCATTGCTTATTTCTTGGGGCAGCCTAAATGTTACGTATATTTTTTCTTAAACCTAAATGAATGTTGGAGGTGTTGATCTGGAGGGAATATAAAGCAAAACTGAAATACATTTTTTAAATACTTAATGAAACTTAATTATTCATATCAATTCTGCTATGTTTGAAGACTGTTAAGCTGTTAGTTCTATGCCTTCCTATTATGCATTTGTCTTTATTAAACAGAATGGTTTTGAATCTAATTTTGTTAGTAAGAAGAAAAGATACAATTCCGTTTCCCCCCTAGGTCAACTTTTTACTTCTGTTACCTGAAGTTTTGTTCTTTTGCAGATAAAACTTTTAATTTCTTTGCTTGTCCACTTCAAAGAATATATGTTAACTGTATAAACATACTTTATCAACTAAATTTGGGGAAAGAAGGCCCTCTTTCTCTACTGTTTCTTTCAGATGGATATAGAAAGCTTTAAAGAGTTGTACATTTTTTAAAAAGTGAGAATCAGAGAAAATCATGATCAGATAATCAGAGAGTCAGAGAAAATTATGATTAGATGAAACATAATTGAATAGCAACATTTTAAAAGTAGAGGATTAAAAGAGTTCTAAATGTTTCCAGTTTCTTAGTTCTTTTAACTGAGAGACATCTAATATTGATCATATTTAGACAAAACTAGTGTCAAATGAGAATGTTGTCCCATGTTCAAACATCACAATTTTCTTGATCATTAACACTTCTTAGCTTTTACATATCTATAATCCCATATAATCATCAGGGGAAAAAAAAAGCTTTAAAACAGTGAAACACTTCAGAGTTCAAAGGGATTCTCAGCACTTTTGTGTTGGGTTCCTCAAACATTTCCACTCCCCTTCTGGGCTCTATATTGCGAAGCGCAATCCTCCAGCAATAGGTCCGAGACAAATGACCTCCTACATATTTAAAATCAAGACCTATACCATATGATTTTTTTATATATATCCTTTACTTAGCTTGAGTAGCCTATATGACAGAAAAGCCACAGTCCCAGCAGAAGCTGGACAGCTATGGTTTTTTTTACAGACCAAAAGGAGAATAATCCAGTAGTTTGATTTTATGAAAATACAGACCTGTATTTTATCTTGGTTTAAGAGGAGCCTGTTTTGTAACATGTTCCCTTGTCATTATTTTCATCTTCAGTTTTATGTGTGTGTGGTTTTCTATGGAAATATCTTGACAGCAGGAGGTTAGAAAGCAAGATGAAATATTGTGTGTCTGCCAGCACATATATTTATGTGTTAAGCGCATACGTGCATAATATCCGAGCAGGTGTATGTGTAGAAATCACTAGTAAGGACCAAGTCCCTGGTACACATTTTTTGCAAGTCTGCATATGGAGAAAGAATTACTTTTCTGATGTTATTCTGATATTAAAAATGAAATTTCAAATACTGAATTGTGTTTTGTATTGAATCGTAATATCATACAGAAGCTCTGCAGCAGATGATCGCAGTATTGTATTTTTAAAATGGAGACTGTTTTGCACCTAAATAGATGTTGATGCATTCAGGAAATACAGTGTGGTAAGAGGCTAAATCATGGTTTATCCATTTTGTAGTAATTCAGTTGCATTTATACTACTATTTTTATAAAATGCTAGAAACAAATACAGTCCTTGCAAACACGCCAAATAGACACGAAACTAAATTCTGCCCTTAGCTGCATTGCACATCTCCAAGGAAAGGGCTGTTAAGATGTAGAATAGCCTCCCTAGGGAGGCTGTTTGAAAAGCCCTGCTATTGTTCTAACAATGCACTCTGATAATGCAGCATATGAAGAGGGTAAATGAAGAGTATTTTACTTTACATTTGATAGCTTGCCCTTTCCAGCAGGTAACAGACCTAATCTCTCTTGTCCCTTCTTCGGTAGGTGGCCCCCAATCTCCTAGATCAAAACTACAGCATCAGATTAGAACAGTGTCAGAAGAGGTGGCACTGTCTCCTCTTTGTGGTTTTCTTGCCTGAACCACAGATCCCTTGTGGTCATTATAATATAAGCTCTTTTGAGGATGCACTCAATTACATTTTCTTAAGTTTTTGTGTACAGTTCCTCTAAAATTCTCATACCACGGAGAACACTCTGCAAGACGGTAAGTAAGCTTCTTGAGTAGTGCAGACAAGCGCTCTCCAGTGTCTTTAGGTTTTCAGAACTGGAAAAAAGCAGTGCTGGGGAATACAGGTGTAAGGCACTGCTCCAGTCAGGTCTGCTTCCCACTGGGATCTAGAGCTGTAGCAGGGGTCATGAAACCAACCTTTGAATTGCTTTCTTGCCAGGAAGGTGGAGAGAGAGATCTTCAGTGAGAAGTGAAATTAAATTTGTTAGTGATTAAAAGGACAGGAGAGATGTGTTGGAAGCATTTGGTGCCAATGAGGCCTCTCAGCTGCTCCCCTAAGCAAATTGCAGTCTCAGTGGAATATCAGCTTCTCAGCCCATCAAATTGCAGTAATTGAGTCTAGAGCTGATCGGAGCATGAGTCACCGCTTAATTTTCTCATCAGTGGAGGCCAAATTTTCACAATATTTTTAGATGCATTTCCGCAGAGATCTCTGCCAGCCAGTGACCTATAGAGCAGAGTGACAACAAAATGAGCAAAAGCTGCGGTTGAATCAGACTCTGCTGTCTGCCACCTACCTACCAACTGCAATTTTGGGCAGAGAGGGCAGGTAGATCAAAGGCCTTGTCATTGTTACAGGGAAAAGAACCCCGCTGAGTTGATTCCAAAACCTGCATTTGCTAAATGAAACATATTCTTAGACGTTAGTACTCTTCCTGAATCCCTGAGCACTGGGGCTCAGCTCACCTAAGAAAAAAAATACAGAAGCCAATGCCAGCTCTCGCTGAAAAGTAAGGTAATAAAGGAGAGCTGAGTGCCTACTAAAATAACCTGTTAACTCTTAGAATATCTAGTAGGTCCAGATCAACTCAGATTCTGCGTATCCCAGATGAATGTTTTTAAAAATTGATGGTAATCCTTGTTCGAAGAGACAGAGGATACTTAACAGCTGCAGCGTGTGGAAGAGGCAGCGCATCTCCGAAGGGTCCTGTGCTGGTGCGTATTGCCTGCTCTTTGCTTGTGTTCCAACTTGACACCTGGCACAATCATTTTTCACTCAGTTAATCATAAGAGAAGAACTGGTTTGGGTGGCATCCTCTGTGTGTGGGCTCCATCTAGTATGATCGTAACAAAATCAAGGGCTTGCAGATGTTAGCATGCAGGTGTTAGTTCATTTCTGTAAGAGAAAAAATACTTATGTTATCCTATGAA